TGCCCACTAGGATTCACAGGCAAGGGAAAAATTGGCTCAGAAGTCAATCACCCTTTTAGTTCATTCACTCCATATGAATATTTGTAGAGGAAGACTAGGGATCCATGCTTACTAACTCATTTCTCTCACCAGCATTGCCTTTTGAAGTATTGTGGACTTGATGGCTATCATTACAAATAGAATTTTTCACACTCTCAACAACTGTAGTTCGGAGCTCTTCACCAGCGTTTTCCTTCTCCTCCTCCTCCCGTTGAAGTGATTCTTCCTAAAAGAGATCAACCAAAACAGCTGTGAAGAGCAGAAACAAGCATTTTCTTCAGTATCCATTGACAACTTGAAAAATACTTGTCTTGTGAGACACAAAAGATAGAAACTTTGTTGAGCTTTTTTTTGTAAAACCTTCAGTTTTTCCATGGGAATCTGTATGAGTAGATTGCCTAATGTCATAAGTCTCTCCCTTGGTTCTGCAAAGCCCCTGAGAAGCACTTCCTCATGTCAGTCTAACTCCAGCTTCACTTCAATGACATCATTTTGGAACACATTCCTTCTTTTCACCTACTTTGCTCCAAGGAAAAATCACTAGCTTCCTGCTCTCAATCTTCTTCAAACTTCCTGTTGTTTCCTCACTTTCAGCCATCACATCATGAATTTTACTAAATTGCAGTAAATCTTCACAGATAAAATCTGTACATACTACTCAGAAAAATCTAAGTGATTCCAGAAAAAGTCTACCACCTTTTTCCTGCAAAACCACTGTAACTAATAGAAAAAAAATATTGAAAATACTGCCTAATATTATTCTTATACCTAAGAAACTGCTTTGGCTAGGTGTAAGACATTTTCTAATATCAAAAAAGGATAATCAAAAGACAGATATATGCGAAATATTAACAGAAACCCAGTTTACCATTTGTTTCTTACCTATATTACCCTTAGAAAATATCCTGATGGGACTGAATCATCCCTATATACTTACTTTGGTGCTTGAGTGAAATGCTGCCCTTAAATTTTCTTCACACCTATTTGAGTGCAAGCTTTCACGTTGTTTCGGTGCTTCACAGACTTTATCATCTACTTTTTCATACTGCTCTTCTTCAGTATCTTCATCATCCATGTGTTCAAGAATGATAGAATTCTGTCTTTGACTTTGAAGCCTTGGGTTTTTTGCTGTTGACGAAGAATTATTACCACTTTCAAAGCCATCACCAAAGTTTGACTTTTTCTCTTTAAGACCACAACTATCTGAGAGAGGCTGAAGTATCTCTTTTTTACAGCCTGTCATTTCAGAGTCTGCCAAAAAGGAGTCAGCATTTCTGTGAAACTTCTCCTGAATCATGCTTTTCCTGCCCCAGCTTTCTTGTGTATTTTGCAAATTATTCAGATTTTGAAAGACAGGTTGTTTTGGTACTGACTTGCAAGATACTTCATTATTCATTATCTTTGGAGACACGGCAGTTACATTTTCTTGCAGTCTTTCAAAACACTCAGCTATAAAAGACACAGGAATATCAACAGATTCCTCCACCTCTTCATCAAGTTCTTTACTTATTTTATCATCATAGACATGTCCAGTTCCACACCGAGCTTGCCCTTCAAACTTCGCATTATTAAAATACTCCAATTTCTGATTAATTTCCCGTTTAGGTTCTGATTTGTCTCCCTGCTCCTCCTCCAGTATGTCATTAGACTGAGTTTCTTCATCTTCCAGATCTTCATCCTCTTCTTCCTCCTCCTCCTCATAATCATCTCCATTCTCATTTTCATCATCATCCTTCTCCTCCAATTCTTCTTCCTCCAAGCTGCTTGCATCTGAGACATCTTGATTCAACAATTCTCCACGTTCTCCTTTGTTCAGGTTTGCATCTGACAGGGTTCTTTGTTTGCGGCTCTTCTTTGGTGTCTTAGGACTTTCAATTTTAGAACCATCACCATCATCTTAAAGCAGAAGGAAAAATGCATGTGAACAAAAGAAGTTATGTAAATAGCAACAGGCATGTTACCAGATTAATGCACAGGAGAGGAGTTGTCTGGAAAAGAAGTCAGACAGGGGATGAGCAGGATGGAGGAAGGACTTGACCAGGGACAAAGGCTTAGGAGGGCATTAATATCTTTATTTTAATGATATGACTTATTTGTTTCTGAAATGACTAAGTGATGTGTTTTCAAAATGCTACTTTGCTCATTTACTGTAGCAAAAAAAAGACACCAACCACCACAAAACCAACCTGCTTAGTAAGTCTACTTTTATATATCAGTATATCATGCAATCTTTTTCCAAATAGCTTACTGTTTTTCCTGAACAGGTGGGAAGCTTTCATTAGCAGTGTCAAGTTTGGCTTCTGCAGCTTCTATAAATAAAGATTTAAGAAAAAAAAAAATAAACAATAACAACAACAAATCCTTTGTTCACATCAAATCTTGATCAGTAAATACAAACAGGCTGTCCTTTTGATAATGCTCAGGTGCTGGCTCCATTCTATACTTCTAACTACACAAACACTCCTCACATATGCAATTCAGAGACTATTTCACCTTAAAACACTGTTCAGATACCCTTCTGCAAGTTGTTTCCAAACCAATGTTTACATGCATAGCAGTTCTAAAAATCTGTTTTTATATTTGTAATACTTAAGCAAAAATTCAGCTATATTTAGGTCACCGTTTCAGTATGCTTACTTGCAAATGCAAAGAACGCAAGTAACTTAAGATCCCTAGACTTAATGCATAAATTAGTCCCTGCAAGTACACTTACCAAAATACCCCTAAATTTCAAAATCATGCCAGAAAAATGCATAATTTCTATTTAAATCAGTGCAAGAACATGAAATCATGTTAAAACTAAACATGCTTGCATCTCCAGCATTACAGAATGGGTTGAAGTACCACACTCAGGTTCCTCATCACTGCACAATCCCAGTGCAAAAGAATAGATGCTCCAGACATCACTGTGTAAGTTGCTAATTCTTCAGAACATTAATAAAAACAGTAGCTGTGACAGCTTGTAGCTGACAAAAAGAATACTACTCAAGCATTCAAAAAAGAGGGAGAACATGCAGTGTGAGATTACATGCAAGCACAGAATGCCATCTCATAGAAGAAAAAAGACGACCCATTTGAGTGACTCATCCACTGAGCGCTCTTGAAGAACCTGACAAGGAGGAAAGGAGAACTAGGTGATGAAGGATTTCAGAAGGTCTTGATAAATAAATGCCTTTTTTCTTTAGAAGTTAGGATTCTATCACCAAATTCACAGGAAACAATAAATGTTTGGTGAAGAACAGAATAGGTTATAATAAGTAACTTAAACTTTTAGTGTCTGCAAGTCTGACTCAAATGAACAAGAACAAATAAAATAATGTGGTTGTTTATCTTGTCACCTATTGCTCTTTTGTCCCAAACCACAAATCTACTGCATGCTCTGCCACAGCTACAGGTCTTTTAGGAAAAACTCACAGCACAAGAAAGGTTGGCAGGCCAGAGACTGCTTCTAAGGAGAAACAACATTGGCTGGAACTGCAGTTTCTTTCCATCCCAGAGAAAACTTGCCTTCAAATCACTTATTTTTCAGGACATTTTTTCCCTGTAAATGTACCATACCTTGGGGGTAAAATCGAGTTCTTCTTCCTCAGAAGTATGCCAATTGTCATCACTCCCCTCTTTCTCAGAGCTTCTTAAAAAGTAAAGCAAAATGAGTACTGTGTCTCTCAAATCATTCCTCAGGTCACCATTAGATATTTTTAAAGTCTTACCTTATTGAATCTCCTTGGGAAAAGTCATCTATTGCTGTTCAAACATGAATTGACATGTTGAAATTAGATTCGGCATGCTAAAAATTAACCAGCACACAAAAACATTTAACATGGACAACTCTACAGGTCATAACAGAATGAAAATTTGGGTAGTCAATTCAACACAAGACAGCATGAATAAATGCATTTCCAAAACAACTGCTTTTTCAAGCCATACTCAACTAAAAAAAAGAAAACAAAAAAGACAAGAGTTATATCTCATTTGGACTCTTACACCTAGAGGTTTAAGAAACATCTCTAAACCTAAAAAAAAAGCATAGCATGAATATGCTATGTTAGTAAACAGTTAACAAAATGGTGGTGTTTTAACAAGACAGTAAGTAAATGAACTGCTGAAGTACTCATATTACACACATGAGTACATATCATATGTAGAGACTTTACTATTTTATCTAACATTATGCTATATACTACACTATCTGCTGCTCTACCCAGTTACAGATTATTCTGAAAAGATAAAGAAAAATCAAAAAGCATAATCAAGATCTGAAGCTTGTCCTCAGGTAGAAGAATCACCTCTGCAGTGATTCTACTACTAGTTCTCTACACTGCACCAAAAAAGGTATTCAATAGACAAAAGAGGTATAACCTGGCATCCTATGCTACACTCCAAGCTTTCATCAGTGTTATGAAGGCAACTTGCACGAAGGATCACAGGCATAAATCAGGTCATAAGGGACCTCAGGAAGTCTCTTAGCCAACCACCTCCTCAAAGCGGGCTCAGCTATAAGGTCAGATAAAGTTGCTTAAGGTTTTACCCAGTTTGGTCTTGAACACCTCCAAGGAGGGAGACTGTACAACCTCTGTTTTGCTGTCCTTACCATGGTGAAGCTTCTCCCATCCAATTAGAAACTCTCGTTTCCACTTACGCCTCTTGCATTGCTGCCTCCTGTCACGCATCACTGGGAAGCACCTGGCTTCTTTGTCTTATCCTCAGATGTACTGGAAGCTGCTGCTACATCCTCTTCATAGTCACCTCTTTGAGGCAGAACAAGCCCAGTTTCCTCAGCCTCTCCTCAAAGGGCAAGTACTCCTGCCCCTGATAACTTTGATGGCCCTCCACTGAACTTGCTCACTGTTAAAAAGACCAATCTCTCTTGTACTGGGGGCTTAAAGTTATACCCAGGAAGCTGGACACAATCCAGTGAGTACCAAGTAGGGTGCATCATCACCTCAATCTCTTGGCTATGCTGCTCTTAATACAGCCCAGGGCACTGTCGACCTTCTCAGTTGCCAGGGCACCCTGCTGGCTCATGCTCAGCTTGTTCTCTGCCAAGACAGACCCTCTGGGCCTTCTCAGCAAAGCAGCTCTCCAGCCAGGCAGTCCCATCATGTTTTGTAGCAAGTGGTTGTGTTCCCTTACACATGCATGACTTTGCATTTGCCCTTGCTGAATTTCATAAAACAGGCCTAACAGTCCATTCACCCAGCTTGTCAAAGTCCCTCTGAAAGGCAGCGCTGCCCTGAAGCGTATCTACTGTTCCGCTCAATTTGGGACCATTTGCAAGCTTGATGAGAGGGCATCCTAGGCACATCACTGATGTACTAAAGAAATCCAAACTCTAGGAGTTCAGCCTGAAGAGTGCTAAAACTTCTCTGCTATCAACAACTAAGATAAAAGGGCTCTTCAATTCCCAAGACAGAAGGTAACAAACAAACAAATAACCTCCACATAGTAGCTACTTCAGTGTTTCTCAAGTTCTCGATAACTAATTCTTGCTAAATATCATAACAAAATGAAGTTGCTTATAAACAGGAGATTGGCGACCTTTTATAAAGTCATATGATGATAACCAAACCAAGGTCTTGGACAAAACCAGTAAAGGAAAAAAGAAAACAAAGGCATGTCTTACATGAAGACTTCTCCTCTACTACCAGCAAATAACAAATGAGCACAGAAATTTTGTTTGTCCTAAAGACAGGGTTTATATGGGAATTTTGAGTACATCTCCTGACCTGAACAGGAATTTCAGACAACCAAATACAGTGTACACATTCAGTGTAGACATGTCATGTGGACATGACAAGCTGAAACTTCCAGTGTGAGTACAAGCTAAAACAGTTAAAATACCAATACAGTCTTTGATTTTTAATGTTTCCTATTACAAACATGAAGTATTTAAAAATATTAATTAGTTTTACATGCCACAGTTTTCTGTTAACTCACTCAGTACCAGCAGTCTAACCTACCTGCTAACCTCCCAAGCTGAATAGAAATCTCTTTCTTAGAACTGGGTGGATAGTGTGGAGCAGTCAGTTGTAAACTCTTGGCAGGTGACTTCAGTTATATTTTCAGTTATTCAGCTGGTTTGCTTAATTATAACTGTACTAAGTTATCTGAACTTTTGCTTTCACTGTATAGCAACTTTGAGCAACGATCAAAACCAGGTCACATCATCCTTCAGAAGGCAAGAGAGAAAGTTCATGAGCTAGTTTTCAGACAGACCTTGATGCCCTACTATAGAAATGGGATCTAGAAAAGCAGTCTCTGGGGATTGTTTATTTCCACTTTAATTGAAGTCCGTTTCCATTTTGGAGTAACAGAAGACCATATTTAAAAAAAACCAACAAACTACTATCACTAATGACACAAAGCAAACACTCAATTCAATAATAAAGGACCCATGCAAAACATGCAAACAAATAATAAGTGCCCAAAGCCTGCTCTCAAATCTAATTTATAAAACCAAAACCATCAAAACAGGGACATCCAGGATAATAAACATCATAGACATGTTAATATTTGTATATCGTACAACATGTTTCATATTTGAAATGCTACTGTATAGAATACCTTTCCTTGATTTTCCTGTTCTTGATGTCTGGTTAGGAGATTGTTGCATTCCTATATCCATTTAGGAAAAGGCATGGAAAGGATAGATGAAACGATAACATCAGAATAAATTTGAATTCTCAGAAATTTGGAAAACGTAATCAGTACATCAACAAAGCTATAGCAATGGGAGAATGTACCATGACTATCAGTCTACTCTACAGTTACAAGTGGCAGGAACAAAACCAATCACAATCTACAGAACTCTACTCTCAAGGGACAGTGCCAAACAGTATAACTTAGTTTACTTGCTCCATGTAAAACACACACATTCCAATATTTTGAAATAAACAGATTATCAGAAATATACTCTATTGCCAACTTTATATTTCCCTCAACTTGACTAGTCCTTGTCTAGCACAGATCGCAAATGCAATACCTTTATATTTGTAGACTGCTTTATACATACAGCACACTCAAAATCCCTCTAAGCATCCCAAAAATCCTTAGGTGCCAACAACTAAACTTTAGAGTTACACTATCCAGAAATTTTGACAGAAATCTTGGCGCTCAGTACTCACACCACTATGCAACTTGGAGCCATTATATTATTTACATTCACTCAAGTCAGTTTTAGCATGTTTGTTATCCCTTGCTAAAAAAAAAAAAAAAGCAACCCAGAAACTTGTTGCCTTAAATCAGCTCACCTTAACAGTGTGTCGGTGCCTGATGCAAACATAGGCTCCTCCTACCTCAGTATGAAGACAAGAGAGTCCTGCTTATATTGATTTGACCATGCTGAACTGTTTCCATACAGAAGCTATGCCACCAGCCAAAACACAGACATGACAAGTAGTCAGAATGTTCCCCCAGGGCTATAGGGCAGGCCACAACTGGACCAAAATGGGTGCACTGACTGGTGTGAGTGTCATGTACGTGTGTGTGTGCCTATGCATTTCTGTGTCTTGTGGAATAGAAGTTTTAGGATATAAATCACTATCCACCTGCTCTACCCATCCTACTTAGTAAAATTTTATTTTTTAAGTCAATGAATGGTGTGGTTCTGTTACTGCAGCTACCCGACACCACATTTCTTTGTGACAAGGCCATAACATGGAATGGATGTGGCAAAAGGACTCCTATTAAAGACATACACTTAAAGAGTTAAGAGAGGACCTCAGGATAGTTTCTCATCCCTTCTTCATTTCTCGGTTTTCTTAAAAGGTGATACACGACAACTTTTCCTGGCCTTGGGACATGTAAATCACACTGAAGCACTTATTTCTTTAACAGCTCTACAATGAAAAAACAACAGTTTCCGCAGGGACTCAGGGAAACACTGAAGGAACAATACACTAATATGCAGTGCAGTAGCAAAAAAAAAAAGTTTCCACTGCACACATACTAAAAATCCAAATCCTCGCCTTTAGAAAAAAATGTGCAATAATTATTTTTTTGCCAAAGAAATTCCAACTTCAGATCTAAAAAGTCTGTCATTCAATATGCTAGGGTTGGAATCCATTCATTTGGAGGTTTTTGCAAACTTGTCTGTGATTAATAAAAAGGTTCATGTTCTGACAAAAAGTAAATATCCAAATAAGCATGAGCCAACTTCTTAAATATGCTGACTTGCTCATTAGAGGAGAATATTTGAAGCAATGTCAACAAGTGCAAAAGCAGCAAAAGGAACAAGGACAACACTGAAGATCCCATAAAAGTGGTACAGAAGAGCAAAAAAAACAAACAAAAAAGGAATTTCAAAGCGGATGCTTCTCTGGTCTCTCAAGATCATCCCAGCTTCTCCTCTAACAGCAACTTCAAAGCCTGTTACTGCAGCATATCAAAGGGACTCTCACCATGCAGGAGCTGTGCTTTGTGGGTGCAAGCCAGAGACTGCAGAATTAATGCCAATAAATGTTCCCTATATGCTACTAATATCTCTCGCTGAACATGGTGGGGTCATCTTTTAAGAGACTGAGCACAAGAAAAGGATTCATACTACTCAGAAGAAAACCAAGCCCTACTAGAAGCAGACTGAGAACAGAGCATACTCTTTCTCCTTCCAAGTCCTTAAGCCACATAACATTGTCTTCAGACTTACTATGCCTCTTCAAATAAGGATAAGTAGTCAAGATTTCCCATAATATTGGGGAGTTATATTCATAGTATCGTAATTTTCAAGGAATGGGGCAAATTATTTGGCTCAAGAACCCATATTTCCCTGAGGGTATGTCAGTTATAGAATCATATAACAGTATTATTTTTCAGGCCACATATTTTAAAATAACCCAGGCCTGTCAGCCATTACAATGTGGTACCACAGGAATTATCTACATGCACAGGAGGCAGAAACAGTGTTGTTTGGAAACAGCAACATTTTGCTGATTAAACTACCTGTACCAAGCCCTTTCCAAAAAATTAAAATAAAATTCTTCCTTCAATCCATGAAGAAACTTTACAAGTCTCCAACTAGATCAAAGCAACTGTTCCCAAGTCAAGGGAACAAAATTTGACTCTAAATTAAATTCCCATATCTGGGAAAAAAATCAGTGAGGAAAATATATCCCATGTTTTGCTCATATTTCTTGATGTATTCAAAAAAGGAGTAATGAACTGTGTTTGAACACTGTCTGCTGCCTATTTGCCGCATAGTCCTGATATAACACCCATAAAAAGCCCCAGAAAGAATAAAACATCCCACTGTAAGGCCTGAGATGTAAAGTACATGACAATTTCATTTATATTAAAATATTAATTTTCTAAGATTCCTCTAGGGCAATGTGAGCTCATAAGTATAGACTGAACTTTAAAAACTCAAAGGAGTTAATTTTTTGATCACAAGACAATTTAATTGTTTTTCTGGATCACAAGGTAATAGGGAATTTTTTTAAAGTTTATTTCATTAAATTACTGAAAGTGGAAGAAAAGCTGTATTTTTATTGTAAATCAAACTATGTCCAATAAGATGCAGTATACACAGACACTGCATTGATGTTGCTAACAAAGTTACTTTTCCAAGACAATTTTTCCTAAATACATCTCTACAGGTCCTACACAGAAACAATTGTAACTGATGCTGAGAAATAAGATGAGTCACTGAAAGGCATTTAGTGCTGGTGAAACTATTAATATTAAAACCAAAACCACATAAACTCAGTGGAAATCAACAAGATATATCTTCCTGCTAACTCATCTGTTGCTTCCCAGATGGACAACTACTCAGGATGAACCTATTGCTTTTGCAATTGGATTTTCACAATCTGAATGCCCATCTATAGGTAAAAGTAGACACCTGAAAAACAAAAACACTCTCACCTTAGTTCCTTCCGTTCCCCTTCTCTCTCTCTAGGAAAACCTATATAGACAGGCAACCTGACAGGCAGAAGGCAACAACCCCATAAGTAGACAGACATGTAGCACACAAATAACAACTGCCTTCACAGCCTGACAAGAAGCACCTCCAACCAGCAACAAATAAGCACGTTCACAAAACTTCTTGTGCTGCCCCATCCAATGCCTCCACTAAATGTCAATGGTGAACACAGTAAGTGTTAACAATACAAACCACCTAAAGAAAAGGCTATAGTGATTCTCCTCATAAGTTCCTCTGTGGTTAAGGTTCCTACCTCCTCTGTCCATAGCAGGGGCACCCAATGTAAAGCCAGCAGCTGCTGTCCGGTGAGGAGTGCTAAGTACCGTGATGCCTTGTGCACCACCTGCAGAAGCTTCTCCTGTGTTTTCCCAGTCTGTGTATTCTGCCAGTTGTTTACTAAGACTACATAGAAAAAGAAAGGAAATATATTTGGTAGAAATAACCACATACTTGCATATACCATTTAATAGAATAATTAACAGCCACTTATTATCCATCCTACACATATTCATAGCCACATGAATTCATATACGTGTATGTATTTGTTAAGGGTAATACACATAGAGCTTATTGCATGAGTATTACATACTTCAGTATTCACTACAGCCATGTTCATTCTACAGATGCATATTCACACCTACGAATTTATTAATTCCTGCTTGGTACACTTTTTTCAGCCTAGCTTTTAAGCACATATTCGAGTTGTGCTTTTAAGCACAACTTCGAGAAGGAGCGCTTGTGGGCACAAAGCTATGAATAAGAGGAGTAAAACTGCTTAAGATTTTAACAAAAGAGATATCGGTTAGATCTCCTCTAAAACAAAAGTCTGGTAGTTCCTGGTCATTGTAGTGGAAGTCAGCAAAGACAACAGTGCTGGTCTGGGGAGAGGGTTTACGTGCATTTCAGTTTGCCAAGTTTCACCTCTGGATAACTGTAGGATACAGACACTGTTTAGAATTTATATTGGGCAGATGTGCGCTTAGCTACAAAACTTGAAATCTAACAGAGAATTCTGTGCAGAAATTTGCCTCAACTTCCAAATTAACACTAGACATAGGAATGATACATATCAGAAGGCATCACTGAGCACAGCTTCAAGACAGGTCTCAACATACCATTAAACCTTGGTGCCTTTACCAAAAAGGTGTTAAAAAGCCGCACTGATAACTGACAACTCATTCTAATGATAAGGTTAAAAATTTACCTAGAATATCCATGAATAACAGCATAATCCTCAGCTGTCCATCCATTAGTGTCTTTATGGGAAACATCAGCACCATACCGAAGAAGAACTTTTATCAAATTAAGCTCCCCACCAGAAGCAGCAGTCATAAGTGGGGTTCTGAAGCATTGAAAAGATGATATGAAATAGATTTTTTTTGAGAGCAAATAGGAATAAAAATTTTACACAGACACTGTAATTATATTTTCCCCATCATCTTAAAATGAACAAAAGACAAAGCAGTTTTCATTACCTATTAAGAGCAACAATAAAATGGGAAAGGGAGTCAAAACAATTAAATGTTCAATCTTCAGACAAAGCCTCCACATAGATAACACTTACACACAAACTGTGCTGCTATGCAGATGTTTTTTCAAATTGAGGCAATGCTGCTGAGCTAATGACATGCTTCCTGCCAGAAGGGCCACCAGAGACAATGCCTTCTTGCAATCCTCAATGCAGAAAGCATCCACTGAGGTATGACAGCAGCCAAGTGCAGACCTGCTTTCACAAGTCACACAGAAATAGCTCCTCCTGTGTGGCTCCCTGGTTTTTTTTTTTCAGAGCTCATTCTCATGTCTCTCATCAATCCAACCTGAAGAATATTAAAGAGACCCATGAAGAGTTTTGACAAACCCCTCACCTTTCACACTGATCTCGAGCATGCACATCAGCTCCTTTTTTAAGGAGCAACTCTACTATCTCTTCATGATGTTCAGAGACAGCAAGAATAAGTGGGGTATATCCCTCCTGAAAGGACAGATAAATAAAGTTAAAAATCAAAGTAAAAAAACTCTTCAAGAGAAATATTAATGCAACTTTTTGAAGTAATTTCCTTAACAAATATAAAAGTTTACCTTATTGTGAGCATCAATATTGGCATTATGCTCAAGTAACAGCCTTGCTACAGACGCATTAGGAGATATGATAGCAAGGTGAAGGGCAGTGTTGCCATCAGCATCTGCCAGATTTGGGTCGGCACCATGGTCTAGCAGAATAGCCACACACTCTTCTTGCTGGCACTGTACTGCCTGGGAACAGCACACAAAAAAGAAAAAACTTCCAGCATTTACATTTCCCTCCGTTACAATTTCCCCACCTTCCCACTGCTGGAAAATAAGAGCACCTTCAAAGATTAGCTAATGTATCCCTATTCCATGCCAATCACAATATGCATGTTTCAACACAGGTCTACATAAAGAAACCTGCAAGATACAACATTAGTGCATAATCAGTAAGCCACACTTACAAGAACATAACATATTCCACATACCTTCATCAGTGGTGATCTGTTATCATTGTCAAAAAGATTTAGCTTACACTTGTTTTCCACTAGATATGTAACAACATCCACATGGCCATTCGCACAAGCGAGGTGCAGAGGTGTCCTAAAAATTTAATATATTAAATTAGCACAGACAGACAATTAAAGAAATCATTTCAAGCTGTGATAAATGGATATGACCGCAAGTTTCACTTTGCAAAAAGCAAGCTTAAGAAAAGATTTCTTGTTCAATTACCAGTAACAGCAGTTGCACACCAAATGCCTGAGGCTGCCTAACAAAAAACCCTCCACATCGTCTGCTTAGTAAGGTAACATTTCCTTCATTGTAGAACTGAATTGGCACAAACAGATTCCTCTGTCTAGGCATTGGTCACTGCCTCCAGCAGGACTACACATACAGCACAGCAGAGACCAAAGCTTGGGAATCTGAGGACTACAGCAAGTAAACCTCTAAGTTCTCCTATGATCATTCATGTGCCAGAAGTGTATCAGAGAGGTAGGAGATGGGTTTTATAACAATAATATTAGTGTTTCCCTGCACTTTGATAATTTCTGCTTTTTCTTCAGCTTGCTTACTACTGCAGCAAAACCAAGAACACGCTTGCACCAAAGCACAACTGATAACTTGTAGGAAACTAGACAGCAGAACACTGCAATCCTGACTACAGGAAAGTAATGTTTGGCCTTCCTGACATGTATAACTATCATAGTCATAAAAAGCCTACTACAGAGGAAGTGCTCTTCAAGGAGGGAATACACTGTTTCCACAATACATGACATGCATAAGAAAATTAAACTTTTTTCTTCAAGTAAAGCCTTGCCAGAAAGAAAAGGGCTCCTTCAAACCACAGAATATCTTAGGTCTAATGTCAATTAACCAGCATACTTGTACCCAAAGACACAATCACCCACAAAGTCCTTGCCTGTGTTTCCCCCTAAATCACAGGCACAAAGCATCACTAACTTCACCCTGTGCAGAAGGCAAAGCGCCTGCTGCTCTGCAGGACACCTGTGCCAACAGAGCAGGAGACAAACTAGAAAACAGCTGGGACCTTTCTCCCCTGAAGGTGATGCAATAAAAATCCTGCAGTTCCTTAAGAACTGAGGGGAAAGCCAACACTAGTTTTGAACTGCATCACTGTAGGTGGGTCCTTCTCTGTACTTAGGAAAGCTCAATTAACTTTGCAACTGTTTTAGTACCTTGCTGAGAGATACGAACCAAAAGGCTCACCGGCTAGGTGGGAACAGAAGGAGAGAGGCACACAAATGCAGTGGCACGTGATGCAGAAACACAGCAATTTGTAATGCAGATATTCTTGTTACAGGGCAGCTGATGAGCATCCTCCATGGCAACAAGGATGAGGACAAGAAAATCACAAAACTTCAAAAAATTTGTAATGTCTTGCATACTTCTTGCTGCCCTCCTCGATCAAGTGTCTCAGTCTGCCAACAGGAAAGGAGATTGCTCTACTTGCAACAAGGCCTGCTGAGCTCCATAGAAGATCCACTTCAGGAAACAGGCCAGCAGAGAACATCAGAGTGTTCAGAGTTGCCGGTCCCCGCAAGAAGCTTCCAGTAACAACAAAGCTGTTCTGCCACCCAGCCCTGGGGACCCTGCTCAGACTCCACTCCTCCTGCTGCTGCAATCCTACGCTGATCACCCACGGGGTAGAAGAGAACTGCTGATGCCTGAGATGCTGCAGAACAACCCACTGGGAGACCACAGGGAAATAGCAGGTTGGTGGCACACACTTCCAATGGAGCTTGAGCTGACAACCCAGCAGCTACAAGATAAGCAATGAAAAGCTGTAGAGTTCACTCTGACAGGCAGCTGACAGGGTAAATCTCTCAGTGATTAGCTTTGACCCAGGATTCATGACTAGCTGGCATTGTGCCTACAGCACTTCCAAATCTGTGCTGAGTTTTGCTCATCTCTTTCAGCAAGGCTGAAGGCTTTGCTAGACCACCTCTGAAAAGCTGCCTGCTGCCAACTGATGCTGTTCCAAGTGCATTTTTTTGAGAGGTTCTATGGGCTACAGGACCCACTTTATGGAAGGAGCCTGTAGGTGTGATACTTGCCATGTCCCTGGTGCAGGATTTTGCTTTTGGAAATCCTGAAGAGCAAAACTGAGATATTAATATGAACAACGCACACATTTTAGCCATTACTTCCCACATTTCCTATTCTTCAATTCCATCTCCAATGATGTCAACTCTTCCAGTCCCTGGAGGACATGATGAAGCTCTGAAACAATTGGTGGTCAGTGACAATACACATCACACCCACAAGCACTAAGAAGGCATGGGTGGTCCTGCAACCCTCATGACTGGTGTAGTCTACAGGGGCTGCAGCAAGCAGGCAGACACTCTCCATTGAATCCCTCTCAAGTAAGCTTTTCAAGCAGCAGGCATTGTCATGTCATACCATCACAGTGTTCTAGCCTACATACACTGCCTTGTCTCTTGGTTTTCTGTTATAACACTGATAATAATAGCATGACACACAGAAGGAAAATCTTTCCAGAGTAAACAAACCTTTCTAACAAGATGAACTTAAAATGCAAAAACTAGACAAATTTCATACCAGGGTCTGCTAAGACCTGATGACCCACTGAATCAGCCACAGTGAAAGAAAAAGTAGTAAGAAGAAAAGAGAAAAAAAAAAAAAAAAGAGACACATTCAGCAGCTATTTCCATAAATGCCATTGGGCACCTTGACTCAGGCAGCTGGAATATGCACAAAACATACTCAATCCACCTTAAACTGCATCCTCCAACTCCATCTGCATAAACAAATACTGACTGGCAACACTCATGCGCACAACCCCCATTACTAAAGTGCATGCTTACCATGCTCTTCCTTATTTCTACAAATCTAGGTGGTTTTAGGTGTTTCCATGGCAACAAGCCAGCTGTCTGGCAAAAGTCCAGTCTTCAGGATAGACAGCCTAGGAAGCTGAGCTACTCTGATAAAACCAGCATCTCTTCAGAATATCATGAACATTTTGACTCCAAGTCTTTTCAGAAAAAGCATTAAAGGGTTGACACATACAAGACCCAAACACTTTGGTCCATTCCCTTATGCTTACAATGGGTCACTAGGAGCTATGCTGCAGCCCAGGGCTTCTTCTTAAGATATAATTGCTAAGTATTTGCTGTGCTTGATTAAAAAACCTATGCAACAATACCTACCAGAAGCAGCAGCTTTTCCTTTAAGTCACTGCTCAGATCTTTCAACCCAACTTCCAACTTCTTCGTTAGGCTGCTGCCAGCTCCCTCCCACTGCTGTGCCCCCGGGCAAAGAAATATGTCTCCGGGAACGAGGGCACCGAGGAGGCCAGGGCAAAAAGGGTAAGACGACACTTGGATGCTAGGCCGGATTCAAGGGCTTGTGGCAGCACTGGCCTAATTCCCACACCCAGCCGAGGGCTGAGCTTGGCTGCGGAGCCAACTCTCCCGCT